AATAATTTCTTATTAATTAATATAAATAATTTCTTGTTAATAAATAATTTCTTGTTAATAAATAATTTCTTGTTAATAAATAATTTCCTGTTAATAAATAATTTCTTGTTAATTAATATAAATAATTTCTTGTTAGTTAATATAAATAATTTCTTGTTAATTAATATAAATAATTTCTTGTTAATTAATATAAATAATTTCTTATTAATTAATATAAATAATTTCTTGTTAATTAATATAAATAATTTCTTGTTAATTAATATAAATAATTTCTTGTTAATTAATATAAGTAATTTCTTGTTAACTAATAAAAAAAGTGAGCTATTGTAGTCATATATAACAACTAGTTACGAAAAGATTTTGTTTTTTTTATAAAATTCGAGGTATATAACAGACACTATTAAAAATGGTTAGTTTTATAGTAATGAATTTATCTATTGCACTTGTAGTAATAAGTACATTTGCACTTATAGTAATAACCACTTTATGTGAACTTATGGACCGTTTAGTACTGATGATAATTTTATCACATTTATTTCTTTATTTGGAGGAGTACTTTTCTCTTCATTCCAAAATCGATCAAATCCTCCATACCTTCAATTATAAGCATTTATTTAAATTATTCACTAGATTTATATATTGCGCTTATGCAACCATTCTTATTTCCCTTACGATTAATCAAAATTTGGCCTGTCATGTTTAGTGATACGGGCGATGCCAAACGCTTGGGCCAACCCGGCCGACGAAATTACTCGGGCTGTGAATCAACTCAATATAAAGTCTTTTTAATAATTTTTTTTATGGTCGACAGGGTCGACCATATTATTAAAAAATTTTTAGTCAAACTAAAATCACAAAACAGTCCTATCTCTTAAACCGTTTGAAATCCAGGGAAAATTTGCCCTGAATTTTACTATAAAAATACTTCTGATCTATTTTTTAAAAAAATTAATATATTTAATTGAATTTTTTTCAATAAAAATTAAAAAATAAAAATTATATTTTTGTAAAATTTATATTTAAATTATAA